CTGTCTGTCTATCTATCTATCATCTATCTATCTATCTATCTATCTCATCTATCTATCTATATCTATCTGTCTATCTATAGATAGATAGATAGATAGATAGATATACATAGGCTTATTATCATTATTATCATATTTTAAAACTAAAAACGCTTTGTTATTTACAGTTTTTCTCAATTGCTTTGGCACATTTTTTTAAACAATCTTAACATTCTCTAAACTGTTGAGTGCAAATGTTTGCTGGAACTTCAGAACTTTATTGCATGTCTGCCAAAGCATTTGCAATTTGCTCAAATCAATAAGAAATTCCAATCTGATGTGAACAAGAAGCTAATTGTTCAGAGATCTGAACTTATTGTTTCGGGGAAAAAAAGTTTCATTCGAGAATTGAGCCAAAGCAATTGAGAAAAACTGTAAAACAAATAAACGTTACCTGGAATATAATAAAATATAAAAATCTTAAACTTTTTTCCAGCTAGCTGCCAAGTTCAGTAGTTTAACTTGGAGTACTAAATTAACTAAAACTAAATCAATTAAAATGAATAAATAACAATGAATAAAACTATGTAGACATAAAAAACAAACAAAAATAAAATGACAAAAACACAACAAAAATTCTAAAACTTTAAAATTACAGAACAGCTCACTTTAAAACAGAAACTATGAAAAACATTTCATTAAAAATAATAATAAATCTATAATAGTATATTAATTATATTATAATAACACTATATATACACAGGTATAATTTCACAATATATATATGTATATATACATATATATATATATTCTTCAGACAATGTTTAGCTTCAACTGCAGACATATTGTCTCAAAACATTTTTTTAATGTTTCAATTAAATATATGCTACCATTCAAAGTTAAATGTCATACACATATACACAAATATATCAAACTACTGTTTTGGTCAACAGAAATTGTAATTAATGTTTTTAAATTTCAGCATGTAAAACACATGGTGACAACATGCCCCAACCTGATTATTAAAACACACCTTCTTTATATATTTCGTCTTTGTATTACACCAGTGTTTCCAAACCTTTTACAAGTGAATCCACAATTCCAGCAGCCTGGCAGTGACCTGGTGGCTGTCAACTTTTATTACATTTTATTACTTGCATTGTTTTTTTTATCAAGTCTGGTTGTATATGTTTTTACAACAAATAATTTGCTGCATCTACATAAAAATGGATGCAACTAACCTGCAACACCATTTTTCCTGTCCTGTGCAGGGTCGATTAATGGACGGGAAGGTGATCGACACCTCTCTGTCTCGTGAGCCTCTGGTCGTAGAGTTGGGCAAGAGGTCTGTCATCACAGGTATGAGGCTCAGCAACTGCAGTTGAATCCCAAATGGTGTTATGTTCATAACAACAGAACTTCTTTAGGCTGAATACAGTTTTGTATAGTTTAGGTTTACTGCAATGTCATTTTGAATTTGAGAAGGATGGTTATGGTAACTAAGGTCATGTAAATCCAATAAAATATCTTTATAAATATCTTTAAAACATGTTATTTTGCTTGGCAGGCCTAGAGCAAGCCCTGGTCGGATTGTGTGAAGGGTAAGTCACGCCTGTATGGTACTTGAGAATGTACAATTGTGGCAATACTTGTAGGCAGAGACGGTAAAAATTCAGTGATTGAATAATATGTTCAAGACTACTGCAAGAAAAGGTCTGAATCACCCACTT